ATAGCAAGCCCAGCGGTGCCCGTCACTCCAGAACACTCGAATGGTCGTGATAGCCATGCGCCGACAGAGCCATACGATTTCCGGCATATGGAATTACTCTTTCATTTCGAACATAACTTGGGCTACACCCAAGGGTTCGGCGATAATCTTACGCGACAAAAGTACCAACAAATGTCGCTAAAACAAGCTTTCCGGGTGCCATTTCTCATGGACGAGCTTCTAGCCATAGCTGCAGCGCATAAGAGCACATTACCAGGAGAGGATCAGACATATTATAGGAGCGAAGCAACTCGACTGCAGACAAGGGGCCTTTCACAATTCACCGTGGCCAACGGCGAGATATCTGATGAGGACTTCCTAACAGTGTTTCTGTTCTCCACCTGGCTTGGCCAACACGTTCTCTTCGACACTTTCTCGGTTCCTGCTGATTTTCCAGTAATTCTGGATAAGCTAGTCCACTGTATGGGTCTTCACCGAGGTGTCCGTACGATCGTAGGGGGCTCATGGGAAAGACTCCGAGCTCACTTCGACGCCCACCTGGGTGCCGGAAGCCGCTTCGTGCAGAACATGATAATCAGGCCAGACCGTTACGAAAGAGGCGACGAGTGTAAACATCTGCTGCACCTCTTTGACACGACCGATCTCAACGATGCGTCCAAAGCAGCGTGTCGGGAGGCTGTCGAGCATCTGCAGCTAATGTTTAATATACACCGCAACACGGAGATACCCGCAGGCCGTAGATACAGCACGGTGCAGGAGTGGTCGATCCGGGTGCCCACCGAATACGTCAGCCTGCTCGACCAGAGGCGGCCCGAGGCGCTGGTGGTGCTGGCATATTGGGGCGTGTTGTTGCACAAGGCGAGAGAGTGCTGGGCTTTTGGGGGTGCGGGACGGACTCTTGTGCGGTCTATTGCGGCTCATCTTGGCTCGTATTGGGGCGAATTGTTGGCGTGGCCAAGGGAGATGACGGAGGCCCCTGTCATTTCGGTATCAAATCCAACCTAAGTCTTGTCTATAGAAGGTTACAAAGGCGGAAGTTTGTACAACATGCAAGAATCTGTGCCGCGGGGAATCTTTACGACCGCCGCCTCGCCCTCGATTGCGACATGCTGTGTCTGAATTCGGGTGCTGCCGACCCTACGAAGCTTCACTTCCACATCCCCACCTACACCTCGACGACCCATGTCATCTTCTTCTGGGTTGATAACCTTAGAGTGCCACTTAATCAATCACCATGGAGCCTATTCGCGGGGCCCGTAATTGTTTGGCTTCGGGATGATCTTAGAGGGTCCGGCTCATTCCCGAGCCTTCGCTGAAGCACTCCAGAGCCCTGTCTCGCTGAGGGGCACAGACAACCCTGCCTTGTAGATTAAGTGGGAGGTGTGTGGGAGTTGCGGGATTGCTTAATTCCGACTATAATGCGGCCCTTTACGCAACGCATTTTGGGGTCCTTTGATATCCTTCAGGAGAGAGATCCTCAAGTACTCAACGTCACAGTGTCGCCCTCGACGATAAAAGCTCGGATGTAGTAGAGAGTGATGACGCAGCTGAAGCATATTAGTTGATCGAAACCCCAGATATCTGATGTTCATGAACAATAGTTGCTTTGTTTCGTTATATCGAAATCCTATTTCAGGAGGCCTCTGACTGGTTTTCATTTGCGCCATGCTGACACGTGGGTGCGCCGCAGTAGACGAGTAACCGATCCAACGCTAAACAAAGATTTCAGAGAGGCCCCCGCCCCCACCTACTGGATAATGCATCGATTATGATGACTTGGCCCGCGGGGAAAGATGAACTTTCATCTCCGTCTTGTGCCAGGTAGTGAACATCTTTTGCCTCCCTAGCCAGCCTGCGCTGTCAGCGTGTAACTTCATGTCAAAGTTCCACACAACACGGGCAATGATTGTACGGATCTCGGCATAAGCCAGACTATAAGGTTGGTTAACCATATTCAAGAGGGGGGGTGGAGGGAGTCTTGGCCTTACTTCTTTCCGATACAGTTTCTTGGCCCGAATGAGAAAGGCTGAGCCGCCAACTTCTGGTCCGATTCGTACTCCGGGTCCCCAAGCCACCTCTCGGGGTGAAACTCGTCGTGCTTGCTGAAGTGAATTGGCGACCGGTTGACGGCTAGGTGGTGAACACCGACCGAGTACCCAGCAGGAACGAATTGTCCACAGACCATTCTTCCGCCGTCAGGCACCACACGAGGAAACGTCCCGGGACCAGGAGGTCCCAGGCGAAGAGCCTCTTCGATGGAAGCGTTCAGGTAAATTAGTCCAGCTGTGCTCTGGATGGTGATATCGTCCTCGCTCTCAAAGGTGCTGCGGATTTCTGACGTGAGCTTGGCCAGAGTTTGCGGGTTCTCGCAAAGGAGGTAGGTGGCCGCGGTCAGACCTGTCGCCGTGGTCTCACTGCCAGCGACGATGAGGACTTGGGCTGCCGCGTAGATCTCCTCAGTTGACATGCCCTTCTCGTCGCTGCCTTGTAGGATGTAGTACACTGCAAATCTAGTCAGTGGGTCGCCTTGATTGAACTACCTGTGTGGGTTGAACCTACTGAAGTCAGGACGATCAGTCTCTTGCTCGAGACGGCGGTTCACACGCTCAACGCCAAACTGGAACTGAGCAACTCTAGTCTTGATGAGGCGGCGGGGAATGAGAAGCAGAAGTATCTCGGACAGTGGCGACGGGAACCGACGGGCAGCACGGAGGTAGGTACCAGCCTGGAAGATATCAAAGACGGCATGCAGCCACCAATGCCACTTAGCATCGCGGAGGCAGTAGAAGGGCTCGCCAAAGGCTAGATCGCCAATGATGTCAAAAGTGGTAAAGTTGTACCACGAGTTCATGTCTACGACAGCCGCGGAATCAGTGCTCCCGCTCGATGCCTGCCCATGGAGCTTGTGGATGAGGAGCTTGACATAGCCGGTGATGACGGATTCTTGGGCCTTGAGGGCTTTATCCGAGAAAGCAGGGTTTTGGAGGCGGCGCATGCGCTTGTGGCCGGCGTCGTCGGCCGTGAGAATGTTCTCGACGCCGTTGACATTCTTGTTCCACCACTGGGCATCTTTCTCAAAGTTGCCAGTGCCCTCCTTGTTAGGAAAACCTTCATGAGTATTACGTTAATGAACGAAATGCCAAGACGATGATGGCCACTCTGGACGTACCATAAACCGTTTGCCAAGCCTGACCGGAAGTGTAAGACAGCTCGCCTGGGGCGATACGGACCACTTTGCCGTACTTCTCGTGCCACTCCTTGACCTTCCAGTGGCTTACTCCACGAACATCAAAGAACAGGTAGTACGCCCTCGTCACGCCGGCGAACTTCGGACCGGGGTAACGGCTGAGTGGATGCAGGAAAGCATTGTAAAAGCACTTTGCCACGACCCCCAAGAATGCCTGCAAAGTGCCCTGAATCAGTGGTCTATCTCTGCTCGTCTCATGGCCACACCTACTGCGAGAGCCAAAAGCCCCAAAAGCGCCATTTTGACTGCTTTGGTCGGTCGTGGTTGTAAGACCCCGCTGGTTGTATTGCTTCCGAGGGGTCGTCGATGAAACAATTGGATCAGAGGAGTAACGCGGCAAGTCGAGTCTCTCAGGAGAGAGCACGGGGGTTCATACAAGGAGTAGATCGGAATGTGGAAAGGGCGGCATGGCGACCCCAAGGGGGGGCGGTTGTTCGATGATATGACGCATAGCGATACTCATCGGATCACTTTACGCCCGCATCGCGAGTCAGATGGCAGGTCTCTATCAAGGAAACAAATCGTACGCGGCCCAATTGTGAACTTATCTTTTCCTATTAAGCAATGCTTAAACTTTCGGTGGATATGTCCCACTATTAAAGTAACCCCACGGCCGAGCCATCGAGAATGGGAGCGGACGAGCCCAAGGGCAGTTGAGCTTGCTTCCCTTCTTGGCAGGCCGACGTCGATGCTCATCTTGGCTTCTGGGGTAATCGTGGAGTGTGCCCTGACTCGTCGGTAGTCCTGGCTAATATATTATACTTTGACCGAGTGCCGGGCCCGGTTTATCGTGCCGATATGGATAGATACCAAAAAGCTTCGATTTGTGGAGTCTTCCTCAGCTAGAATGACAAGATTGCATTACTGCAATCCGAGCTGCAGGCTTACGGCAAGGCAATCGTCCAGCGATTGTGCCAAGCCATGTAGTCAAAAAGATAGCGTGTGGAGCAGACTATACTCATCGTATAATCAATTGTGATTAGCTTCGAGTATGGATTATAAATAACATATACCTGTTTCGCGACATCTCTATAACTTAGGCACTTTGAGCGAGCAGATTGGCTTATCTCACCCCCACTTCGACCGTTTGACAACCCAGCGATACATATCCCTGGGTGCCGGAGCATTCCTTATGGCCATGAGGCCAAGTATGCCATTTAGTGGCTGTTTAGGGTCCCATTCTCTTTGGATAACGCAGAGACTAGAGTAAAGGACCGGTGCTCTGGGAACGTATCCGTATCGAGATCATCAGCCCCCCTTGCCTCAGTCTCTCTATCATATCCATATCCGTATAGGCCCTATTAAAAGAAGACCAGGAGTTACTTCGGCCGGGACGTAATCTGACCAACAGATATCCCAGATGTCGTCTCCATATATACGCGGATGGCACAGAGTAGTATGTGACTGTTATGTAATTCATCTTTGTGTTTAGCATGACTTGACTCAGTTTTGTGCTCCATGGAGGGCTCCCGCCGGCAAACAACAGCCAGCCGGCGACCATCGACCTTGAAAACTGCGTTGCCATCATGGATCGTCCAGGATCCCCTGGTCGGGTCAAGCTATCACGGAACTTGACAGGCCTATGCCACACATTTACCTTGTCATCCTACGAGTCGATGACTTTGAACCCCAGCCTCAACCTCCGCATCAGATGAACCAATGAGCTAGGCAAGAATCGTCACCTACGGATAGACCCCGACGGTGAATTCGATGAGATAGCAAAGATCTGGGAGCTGAGGAGCCACTGCAGCGGCTGCTGTCGCGGGGTTCCTGTCGCGGCATGTGATATAACAGCAGCTCGATCATCCAGGGGTTCAAGTTCTGGTGAACCGCCTTCGCTCTTGATCTTTACCTTCTTGTTTACCCTGATTACCAAGTCCTGCGCCGCTGCACAACGTTCAGTATGGGTGAAATGATCATGTCCAATGAGCCCTGGGACTTCCTGAACTCCGTCTTGAGGTTCAGGGACGATGACTCTCAGTTCTGGTGGGACAAGACGGGACGCATGTTCTCCAAGCTCCTAAAGTACGCCGGCTACAGCGCAGCAGACCAGTACCGCGAACTCAACTTTTACTCTCTTTTCGTCGCTCCTGAACTCGGCCCTTCACCAGACTGCCACGGCAATGTTAGAAGATGGAGAAGCCCGGGTACACCAGACTCTACTCCCATCGACTTCAGCTGGGAATGGGGTCGCGACAATCAAGCCGTTGTTCGCTACTCCTTTGAGCCCATTGGCCTCCATGCCGGCACAGAGCTAGACCCTCTCAACAGACACGCAACAAATGACTGGATCTTCAAGCTCCAACAACAAAAGCTGGTTCCCAATCTGGATCTGGAGTGGTACAATCACTTCACCAGACAAATCCTGCCCCATGGCACCCGGACAAAGACCGTAGACTGCTTCATCGAAGAGACAACACCCAAGGCAGGCACTGTGGTGGCCCTCGACATCGAGAAGAGCGGTCCTGTCATGAAGATCTACATCTACCCAGGACTTAAGGCCGAAGAGCTCGGCATCACGAACCTCGAGCTAGTGGAGCAGTCTATCCGCAGCCTCCCGACCGACCAATTCCTATCACTCGGCGCCGAGCCACTCTTAGACTTCCTTAAGGAAGGCACAAAGAAATACAACTTTGAGACAGGCATTCTCGCCATCGACTGCCTGGCGCCGAAAGATGCTCGCATCAAAGTCTACATCAGAGCAAAGCACACAACCTTTGAGTACATGATGGACTGCCTGACCCTTGGAGGCAAGCTCGACATGTCGGGTGAGGCAATTGACGACCTCAAGGACTTTTGGAAGACCTTCCTCGCGGACGCACCGGATGTGCTCGATGATGAAGCCCCTGGACGTGCATCACCGGGCTTCTACTACACCCTCGGTTGTGGTAAGGCAATCTCACCAAAGGTGTACATCTCCCCCAACTACTTTAGCAAGAATGATATAGATGTCCTTGCCCGCCTTCGCAGTTTCTTCTCTACTCGTCGGTCGGACTCAATGATGGACAATTACGAACAAGCCTTGAGCGATATCTTGTAAGTCTCCCTCAACCTACACATCGATTGCAGTTGCTAACGAGTCTCTCAGTGGACGCAAAACTCTGGCATCTCGTTGCGGTAGCCATTACTACGTTGGATGCGCCTTGGCCAAGGGCCAATTGAGGGTGGTGACATATCTCAGCCCTCAGTCTTTTGACTGCGAGAAGGACATGATTCAGGCTCGGAGGCCATGACAATGAGTGATGAGATACTTGGTTGTTGCATAGTGGCTTGGCTCTTCTTTTTAACTTGATATCCGATATATTTCATGATGTTGGTCACTTGCATTTGCTCCATCTGCATGTCGTAATGTCCGAGCTTTCCGTCGAGACGAACATTTGGTCCGTGTTTAGAAGTGGTGTTGAATTTGGTTTTTAAACTTCGCATTATCTGCACCATGTCAGCGTACAACGTTGTATCACTTCTTGGCAAAACGCTGACAGACAGAATACTGACTGGGTTCGTAAATTAAGACACGTGTGGTGCAAGCGAAATGGTACTTTGGGGGAACAGAGTTTGCTGTCAACCTGTCCCTGCGCGGATTTCAAACTCTATCATTTCTGGAGAGGATCTACGTCATTACACTTGTCCTCGCCCGGGTTTGTCTCTATGTTCTTCCCGTCGAGGAGCTGAGCTCTACAGCCGCCTTTTCTAACAAATCGCACGCCATCTTGGCACCGCCTTGTGCGTTAAGCTCGTTTCCAATTCTAGTCGCATTCTCCTTGTAGCTTGTCTCGTGAAGTACTTTGTGAACCGCGTTGCGAACCTGGTCCACTGAGGGAGTATCGGTCTTCAGATCAATACCTGCACCAACCCAAGTAACCCGCGCAGCTGTGTCCTTCTTGTCTTCCGAAGTTCCGGCGCAGACAAGAGGAACGCCGTGCGAAAGCGCCTGTGTCACGCTACCGTATCCACCGTTCGTTACGAGAAGGCGGCAGCGTGGAAGGAGGAGATCATAGGGAACCCAATCCGCAATGCGGACGTTATCCTCGACCTTAACCTTGTCGCGAATCTCATCGGCGAGTTTTGAAGGCACAACCAGCAAGTGGCTCTTGTCGTTCTGAAGCGCTTTGATGGCGGGAATAATGAGTGAGGTTGGGTCCATGGCAAATGTGCCCTGTGTGATTCCAATGATGGACTTGGCGTCGAGAACGTCTTGCCACCAGGTTGGCACACCAACACTTGCACCTGCAAGACGCGTAACCAGAGGTCCGACATACCGAGCTTGAGGAAGAATAGGCTCAGGGCCCTTTTGGAATTCCAGGGAAGGACACGACGCCTGAATATGCAGGAAAGGACTGTAAGAATATGTGTCCGTGACTTTGAGGGCAGGCAGTCCCAATTTCTCTCTTTCCGGGTTGATCGTAGGCAGCACCAGTTGTGGTTGACTGATGAGTAGTCCTAAAGCAGATTGAGCAGCATGGTCGATGGGCTCGGGCCCTATATCTGGCAAATACAACGGAACAACTCCTAGAGTTGCATACTGAGGAATCTCCCCTAGCTCGTAGAGCGCTGCAACGCCTTGAGGCAGAGCGTCGTTGAGAACAAAGTCGGGCTTGAAGGTCTTGAGGACGCAGCGGATATCAGTGACTTGCGCCGTGACACGCCCTCGAAACATGACCTCTGCCGTCTCGGCCATGTCTTTGGGGTTGGCGCCCTCCAAATTGGCATCTACTTTGACGACTTCCTCTGCAGCGACGAAGGTTGCCCCTGATGCAAGGACTCGCTGTTCCTGCGGCGCTATTGTCGTCCAAACGACTTCGTGGCCACGCTCAATCAGCTCCCTGGCGACGGCTTGCATTGGCAAAACATGGCCGGTGGCGGAGAAACAATGTAACAGAAACTTTAGTGACTGACGAGTTGTCGTGGCCGTAGCAGTGTCCGCGACCATGGCCGCTCCGTCTGATTCTGAGAAGTGCATCGTGTTGATGGGGGCGGTGTAGTTGAACAGAGCTGTTGGGAGGATCTGCTGAACTGGGTGATTGGACGAACACCTGGCGTATTCAGTTGGCACTGCAGAACGAAACAAAGACACATAACTATTGCATCTAGCAGGTATTATGAACCTATCGATTCCCCTTGAACTCTAAAGCATCTGATTCGTTCATTCGCACAGATTTGTCAATACTAACAACACACCATATAACTGAGGGATAAGATCACCCACAATCGGCATATGGCAAGGATAATTCTAGATAGCTATCTTGACATTATCTTTGCAGAGCGCTAATTGAAAAGTGCCATGCGGGTCGAGATACGACGTTACAAACTCAATTATTACCCCGGACATTGGGAACCCACACGCATGAGTCGGCGTGCATCACGAGTCATTAACGTATCGACGTCCGTTGATAACGAGCCGGGGGCAGTTGGGGTAGGTAATACGGCAGTTTCGATGGAGTCTATCCGCGGAGTGACATTTGAAGGCCACGAGTAAAAGGGTCAGCGACACCACGCCGCTTGCATTAACGACCAACAAACTTTACTGCATCCTCCACAGATCTATAAAGATGTCCCGAGCTGTCGATAGACTTCCCGCTCCCGCGGAGGGCCGTTCAATGAAAGTTATTGGACTCGGTCCTAGCCGGTAAGAAATAAAGGAAAAGCGCTACATCTAGGTTTAGAATCATGCGGCTCATCTATTTACTAGTACTGGAACTCTCGGACTATGGCAAGCATTGAAGATTTTGGGGTACACCCCCTTCCATATCTCAGAGCTCTTGCCGTATGGCTTCCAGCAAATGAGGGCACTTCAAGAGGCTATCATCGCCAATGACAGCGACAACCCATTTCAACGGGCCGAATTTGACAAGCTCTTCGCCGGCTACGACGTAAGTTGGAATGCTTTTGTCAGCTAAGCAGAAAAAAAGACTTCATCTAATATCGTTAGTGTATTGTCGAAAGCCCCTGCTATCTTTGTCCAAACATCATCAAAGAGTACTTGGAAGACCCAAATGTCAAGTTCATCTTGACAGAGCGTACACCAGAGTCTTGGGCTAAGTCGATCGCGGGATCCCTCGGAGCCTATCATGCAAAGCTCGCGAAGCCGCCTTTGTCGATCGCTAGGTACTTTGACAGCTTCATCTGGGAGCTGACTGCGCTGTTCAAAGCCATGACGCACAGATGGTCGGGTGGACTGGAGCCCAGTGACCCTGGTTTCAATGAAGCGCTGTCCAAGAGCTATATAGAGTAGTAAGTCATAGCCTTGAGTTTTCGGTATTTACAACAAGCAAATGTTAACAGTTGCGATAGCCTAGAGAGCGTAAAAGCTCTTGTGCCTGCTGACAAGCTTCTGGTCTTGAACCTTGAAAAGGGATTCGGCTGGGAAGAGATCTGCATGTTCTTGGGGAAAGACGTTCCGGAGGAACCATACCCGCGCATCAATGCCATGTCAGACTTCCATATTGCCGCAGAGATGGTGGTATCTCCCGCAATCAAAAAGACGATGCGGATTCTCACGTCGTCAGCAGTTGCCGTTGCTGGTGTCGGTATTTGGTTTTGGCAGAGGAGGAGGTAGCGTTAGGGGTCTGAACCCAAAGAATCATTTGCAATAGTTACGTAGTCATAAATGCCTCAATAGATACTCTTGGCATGGGTGCTTGGTGTCCCAATTCAAAAACATGCGCCCAGAGGGGTCCAAGACAACTACCCAATGGGGATGGTGACAGCAGCCAGTTCACAGTTGTAGTGAACATAATCATCATTTTCCTGGCTTGTCCAAATATCTACAACAATCAAGATTTGTTCATGAGCCTATCCGGCCCTGAGGATCGTAGGCCGAAACTTCAACTTCGACACGCATACCAGGCTGGCCAAGCTTTGAGGCTCCAATACCTGTAAGAATCGGCGCATGGTTCGGAGTCCACTTTTTCATGTTCTCTACCATTCGGCCAATGCCATCCTCATTCCAGGCCTCGTCGAGGGCATACAAGCGGATGCGGAAGACTTGGGACCATCCTTGGCCGCCAGCTTCCTTCAGGTTAATATTGACGTTTTCAAATGCTTGGTCGATTTCCTGCATGAGGTCACTGGGAACCATTCCAGTCTCTGAGTCCCAGCCTCCTTGAGTTTGAGATATGAGTCAGCGGGAGTTCGAATAACTAAACATCTTGGATTCTTACTTACCCTGGCCGGATATTTCAATGTTGTCTCCAACCCGGACTGCTTGGCTGTAGTGCATCTCCCGTAACAACTTCTTTCCGTACCCTTTGTACGAGAAATATTTGAGACCCGACATCTTCAGTTTATCGGAGTCTTTAAGTAGTTGCGACAACAGGAGGAAGTTGTGCTCCGTGGAGGAAAACAGACTCAGATAAAAGTAGTTAAGGTCAGGTTGACAAGCATTAAGTAGAAAGATTGATTACTCGTGGTAACAACTCGCCTTTCAGGATAACTTGAAGAAACTGCCTAATGCTGCAGAATGTCTCTCAAACTCTTTAATACTCTGGCACGAGGTCCTTGAATAGGTTTTAAATCATTTCGTTCTAATTTGGTGCCGTGTTCTTTCGGGCACGCTGCCCAATTCACTACATGTCCATGTGAGCATCGTAAATTAAAGCTTACATCATTCGTGACACGGCTTAACTCTCGTAGCCGGCTTAATAATGTTATGAATACTTGGCTTGCTGAGGACTGTTGCGCTAAGCACATTTCCTCCGATTCGATACAGGTCCAGTGTGAGTTGCACCCGGACAAGCTTAGTGCTGAGAAAATTGGCGGCGGACGAGTAGCCAAGAATTACGTCTTACTAATATTGAGGAACCGTGATGTATTAGATCTTTGAGATTCCCTTGACTTTCGGGCACCATCTCAGTCCGAGTTCGTTTTGCGGCGAAGCTAGGCAGCAAAGGAAGCGAATGCCAAGACGATTATCAAAGCAGCCTACGGGTCACTTATTATGGGCGTATGCGAGCTTTGCTACCTACAAATGTTGTCATTCCTTAATCTTGCCGACATTCCTTATGCAGCGTAGAATTCGATGGTCAATTTCCGGCTTACATTTTCACATTTTTGGACAAGAGGGTAGACGCATTCAAGTGTATGACACAACAGTTTGCCGCTCAACAAAAAGTACCTTAGCTGTATTCCAACTACTCCTACGGACACTGCTGCCAATCATGCTACCAGTACTGCTATCATTACTGCGACTGCTTTCTATTTCTAATTCATTCTCCTCAGAATATACTTAGGAAAGTACAGAACGGGAATAATAATGAAGTAGGAGTGGTAACAATAACAATAACAGGAATGGTAGAAATAGACAGAACTCGGGGAATTTAGAGACATCCCATTTTGTCACCCACTTGACATTGCAGCAGTTTACCCAGATCTTGTTCATTTCTGAATGCTTGTCCTACGTCGCTTCCGTCTGGGTGATGGCTCGGCTAAGTCGGTTGGGATAGAGTGAGACATGGTTTCACCTCATGGGTAGAAGATCTGCCTTTCACGGGCCGAGCACTGGGCGCTGAGACCTTGGAATCGTGGCGCAATCAACACGGCCAGGAGTGGATTTGTAAACGTTTTTGTCATTCCTAGAAAGAAGCTAGCGGCGCCACATAGATCACATACAGCGCGAGGAATCTGAGCCGGCGCTATCGGCGTACCACGCCGGCCCTGTCGTCCTCGTCTCGGCGATGCGGCCCGGCCCCGAAACAATCTTCGGCGTCCAAGGTAATCCTGACGCACGGTTTGACCACATATCATGTCCAGAACCTCCAGATTTTCATGAACGCCAACGCGATACCAGAGGCAGCTACCGGCACGATCAAATACCTCGCCGCAGCCATCTGTCCTCTCCTCACCTCCCTTTGTTAGAAATGATTCATCCACAGCTCGAACTCTTTGCCATCATTAAGATGCGGAAAAGCCTTGTCCGGTATTTTTTTATCGAGAAACTCGCACAAAGTCTCCCACCCAGACCCAAGCTTGTACTCCAAGAGACGGTGTTTAGCGACAAGCTCCCTGATCTTCTCGGAATGCTCCTGGCATATCATCTTGGCGTTCCTTTGCCATTCCGCTTGATTCTTACATCGAAACATTGCGTATTGTAGATCCCGCGTAACAGTGACGGGCTTCAGCCTCTGGAGAGGCTCAATGAGATTGAGGACAGCCCACATCTTCCAGGTAAAGAAAGACCTGATGACACCTTCGTCATATGACTTGCAACACTTGTTCAAATCTCGATCGACAAGCAAAACTTTGGCCGAGATAGGGAGGTAAGCCAGTTGATCCTTGGAGTTACAAGTAGTAGCTAAGTACCTAGGTGTGGCTCAGTTCGGGATAGATTCTGAGAAGCTCCTCCACAAAGCCAATCGCTGGGTTATCTGAAACGACAGCCCAGTCTCCGACTAAGTCATCAAAATCTTCAGCTGTGAAGGGCTTGCCCTTCCCATAGTACTTGGCTTGCACTGCATCAAACCAGCGGAGATGATCTTCAGGTCTCTCGATATATACGAATCCGTGGTAAGTAGGCATTCCAAGCTCTTCGTATGCAGCCTTCATGGAGAAGGGTAGACTCATGTGCAATACTTGAATCCTGGATTTTTTCAACCATGCTGGAACTCATTTGTGACCGAAAATGACAAGAGAAAGAAAATGCTCAAGACTATCAATTTCAAGACTTTGAGGAAGTAATTGCTTTTTATGTGAAGCTTCTGCGCCGCTGCCCACTGCCCGTAGATCTTTGTAAGCTGACTGCAGCCCAAAATTTCTGTGATGATAAGACCATGATTTTCTATGCGCTCACAGGCGTCGGGTGACCTCATCTTTGAAATTCGTTCCCAATCCAGATTCAATTGTGTTTCTACATTTGTTCCGTCCAATCATAACGAGTCAACCGTGAGTATCGTGACGAATTATGTCAAGTCTTCGACGCCAAAGCGGTTAATTTTATGTCAACTCGACCACACTTACTCTGCATGATTGGATGTTCGAGCCTCGAGTGCACTGGGTTCATTATCGCGTGCACTGATTTATTTACTAGTTGTCGTGTGAGATACTTGGGAGGTTAGAAGCGGGGAAGGAAGGGGGGAAGGAAGGGGGGAAGGAAGGGGATTTGTACTCTAGACGCGGGAAACAATGTGATAATCATATTTTAAAATCAGATCGTCTCGATTTGCGATCTTGTAAACCACTCAATATATTTATGTGTACTTTAGGTCGGTCTCTTTTACGCAATACAAGACGGCTGAGCCATTGAATCAGACTTTAAATTAATTACATGGCTTTCTTTCCTGTTGGACTGCGGCATCTAGCAATCTAGTATTTGGTACAGTCGTCGGTAGAAAATCATCCGCGGCGACGCGCCTGCTCCCTCCACATAAGAAACTTTTATTACCAGCAACCAAATCTAATGGGTACGCTCCTTACCTTCAAGTTGAAGAAGTGTCTACCTATCTACCCATGTGAGGTACGTTGATACTTTACCTTGGTGTTTCTTTGCACGTGACTGGAAACCCTCTGGCAACCTTGTTGCCTGGATCGCAGCTAGATTAGACGCGCAAAGACTGAGTCTCCGTCCAACTACAACGCTCTCAACGTCCCACGCGTGTTTCACCTTATTCTTGCCTCCCTCGATCGCTTTAATCTCACAGAATAACCAATAGAGAGAAATACGGACCCATTATGTCTTCGTCTCCCACACAGCAAGACGCGGAGGAGCTCACACCGATCGTGCAGTCATGGCATCAATACGAGCCAACGACCAATTCGTGGGAGACAGTCGAGAACCACAGCATCAATAATCCTCCACCAACCCCTCCCCAAGATACTACCGATTTAAGCCCTCGTTTGGTTCTTGCCACATGGAACGTGGAGGCATTTGATCGAGAACCTGCCCGCCGCGTCATCGCAGTTTTCGATCATCTCATCAACCATTCACCCTCGCCGGATGCTATTTTCCTCCAAGAAGTGTCGAGACCGATGCTGAGTGCGTTGCTGACCAACGACACAGTTCGCGAGAATTGGATCTCAAGCGAAAGAGACACAAAGAACTGGATCGGCGCTCCCCTCATGGCTTTCGCCACCATGACTCTTCTATCAAAGGCCAAATTTGGTCACGTTGGCAGAGCGGCTTTGGCGGGTCTCGGGCGGGTTTCGAGGATCAAGTATCGATCTTTCTACAGACGGGATGCACTATGCAGCGAGGTTTTTGTGCCATCGCCGCAATCGGGAACTCAAACGACCACGTTCAAGCGACTTCAGTTGGTCAACGTGCATCTGGACTCTTTATCCAACGGGGCGGCATGTCGTCCAGCTCAACTACAGTGTGTTGGATCACTTTTGCATGATGTCGGTCACGGGCTGGTAGCGGGAGACTTCAATCCTGTCACTCCACATATCGATGCAAGCCTGGTAGAGGATAACGACCTCCTCGACGCGTGGAAAGAGTTGAAAGGGGAGGAGACTGGATACACATGGGGGGTTGACGGTACCGAAAGGTTCCCTGCAAATCGAATGGACAAAGTCGCCATGGTGGGGTTAAGACCACTGCATATCGAAGTTTTGCATCCGATGCAATTACTTTTGCCTGGCGAAGATAGATCTGTTTCTTGGAGCGACCACTCGGGGCTGAAGTGTACTTTCACCCTTGCCTCGCCTTAATGATTCAAATCACTAGAACTGAATTGATACGAATAATCTAGATGTTTGGTACCATCTTCGCAGAAAGTCCATCTCTCGTCGTTGGTGTGTCGTCATTACACTGGTCCTGGTGCTCCAGCGGTGTCAGCGCTAGCACCGATGTCAGCAATAAGCAATGTAGCTGCCTAGTGGCCCCCTCGCAAGGAGACAACGAGCTATCACGGAAGCCGCATGCTTATTGGTTTACCCCAGTTTTCCTATGGAAACTCTTCGCTCCTTATTTCAATATGTAAATTCTATGATTATTCTCACACATCTTTTGCACAATTAGTTTTACTTGATGTTGAAAAGGCCGGTGCTACCCACGACAATTGCGTCAGTTGATTGTCTTGGGCGACTCGATTCATGGGAATACTCCAACATCGTGCGTTTGTCTCGTCATGGAGCATCTTCCGATTCCCCGCGACCCAATCGGTGGGCACCCGATGATAAGTTTGGGCACCAAACAGTTTCACGAATCTGGCCCTTTCCTCGATTATCCAACGCAGCATGACGAGGTTCTTAACGCACACTATCCACATGTTCCCACTCAAGCCGATGCCCTTCAAGGACGGTTCAAAGCCGGAATATCGCATATGCAAGTCATTGACTATTACCAAGGCTGGCTGTTCTACTCTTTGATACGAGATTTCCTGGGAGACTTGTACAAATGGCAAAATTACACGTCTTGGAAGCACGACAACCAAGGAAATTTCGATACTGTCAGCCTGTCTACACGGACTTTGCACGAGGACCTTGCAACCTTGCGCGCCAGTGGTCCGCTGGCATCCATCCGATCTGGCGATACATATGAAAAACACCTCAAAGAATGCTTGGATAGGGCATTCGAAGCCTTTGATGAGATCGAGTTCAGATTTCCGGGCTTCTCAGCGGCATTCGCCGAGGAATTTCTGTGCCTGGCCAGCTTAGCTGAGACATTAGACTCCGCGGTCCAGACTGCCCTTGTCCACGGACCAGTCGCCGGTAAGTCACACGTTCTCCAGTGCCCTGTTGAGCTGAGCCCATTAGAAACCGGCAGGGTCCAGGCCCCTGAACGAATGCTGATGTGACCTCTTCACACAGGAATGGACCAACGTGTACAGCACTTCCCGGAGTCCGCCAAGCGCCCCTGGTTCTCCAAGGTCGCCTCCTTGCTTGATCTGTCTTCGGGAGACAACAAGCTCGCGATGATCAAGGCTGGCTGGTGCCCTGGAGATATCACTAAGATCGGTGACAGCTTCAACACCATCGCCGCCTTCTACTACTTCAGCAAGTTCAAGGCCGATCCAACCGTAGCGGACTTGCACGAAGAGTGCCCCGAGTATGGCTGCGGCCTCAGAATACCAGCAGAGCCTAAGCACATGAGCGAAGGTTGCGACTGCCCGGGAATGGTTTCATTCGAAGAGGAGAACCTCATAGAAATCTACGAAAAGGGCGATGTTCCTTGTTTTTGTATTGGAAGACTTGAAGACGGCAGTCTGGGTATTGCTTTGAGTTCCTGCAGCATCGACGAGGAGTCGCAGAAAGACCCCGATAATCACTATGTCGCTCTCTCGCACGTATGGTCAGAGGGGATGGGTAATCCGTCGGCGAACGCCTTACCCTTTTGCCAGCTGGCTTACGTACAACACCGGGCGATGATGGCATATCAAGTTGTGGAAGAGAAAGAAACAGACGGGTCAAAGGATGGCAGCGGCATCTTGATCCAGACGAAACCAAAAATACGCCAGCTCAATATCTGGATTGACACTATGTGTTGCCCAGCGACTCCAGGATACGGAAAGAATCTTTGTCTCTCGATGATGCGAGAGATTTACTCAAATGCCAATGTTGTCATGGTGAGAAGCGCAGTGCTTGAAGCTCTTAACATAGGCGATATTGTACGGGATCCCTCCAAAGGGGTGATGGACGTTGCATCGCAGGTTTATCTGTCTCCATATATGCGCAGAATGTGGACACTACAAGAGGCAGTCCTAGCAGGAGCTTCCAGAGCTCGAGGTATTGGTGACCGGCTTTGTCTGTCATTCGCTGATGGCATTCTTTTGCTCGAGTCAATCATCAACCTTCTGAAGCAAGCACCGCGACAAGAAGCCTTGTTGGCATACCGCTTCATGGCGGAGTTTCGGGACCTTAGCACTCACATGTGGCAGCTGAGAGACGATGATGATGGCAAACCGATGAAGCACAGTCTGAAAGGATTCGACTTCTTCTTGAATATGCTCACCGTTGCCTTGAAGTACCGCAACGTTACAGTCGCGTCAGACGAGGTGATTTGCCTAGCTACACTGCTCAACCTGCGTATCAACAGCACAAAGGGAGTGGTACCTCTTATTGGACATGGAGAGACTCCAGAGGAGGGCATGTGTGAGTTGTGGCGGAGGCTCCAGGCCCTCGGCGGCAGTCTGCCATCTGACCTTATTTTCTCGTCTATCCCACGTGTCCAAGCACCGGGATACCGCTGGGCTCCCGCAACTGTTGTCCAGTATGCAAAACACGGCAATCTCTATGTTTCTCATTCCAGTGCGTATCCAGCGAAAATCACCGACAAGGGTCTACACGTGAGGCTTCCTGGGGCGCGACTCATGAGTCCGGCTGCCACTGCTGGTACACTCGGCAGGTTGTTACCAAAAGTACTAGTGAACGACGGGAAGCAAGCCAATCCGGGGGACGAAGCTATGCCCCCTTCGGTATTCATGGCAAAGCTACAAGCAGAAGAAGGTGGATGGTTTGCTGTCAGAATCCATCACGTTGACAATGAGACCCAAGAGTCCAGATCTGTACATGCAGGAGCGCGCTCCGAAACAGATCACAGACCAAGGCTTCTTCGACTTCTCAAGAGTAGGTCTGCAGCGCTGATATACCAGAACGCCAATATCAGCGGGCCAGGCCTGCTCGTTTCCATCGACTCGCCACCATCAAATCTGAGCGCTCTCGACATCCTGAGTCTGAATCCGGAGCCCTTGCAGACTACAAGCGAGTTCCCGGTAAAGATAATGCCACTGAGCGGTGGTGCCTGCGTCATTGCCGAAGCAGCCAACACCTGTGTCGAAGAGCTTAATCGGGCTGTGGTGGCTGAATCTAGACAGCGGGGAGGCGAATATGCCGTTAACAATGTCTGGGAGAATACGGCTGTCATTACCGAGCTTTTCAAGCAAACGGCCGAGAGAATTGTGGAAGACTCCAGTTCAGCCCTGAAAGAAGCCTTGTATTTCGAGGTCCTGTCCAGCAAAGCCTCTGTCACTCATGAGGCTGCCATTGAGCGCTTCATGCAATACGTGCGCCAGGTGGCGTACTGTGGCGGCGGTATAAGGTGTGAGGCTTTTCCAGAGGACCAAGACTGGTATGTGGATTGATCCTGGTCAGGATCAAGGCTGGGCCCTCGTGGGGTTGGTACATCAATTATTACTGCTTCATATTAGTCATCAGAGCTTGAGTCCTTTCTTTCAGGATGAAGTTGTGATTTATCAGCTGTAAAGCACATGTAACGGAGGGTGACGGTGTCAAGAGTTGAATGCCTTCATGTGACTCTTTTCCAGATGGATGGCAAAGATCGTTGCTGGGGTTGATCCTGATGCTGATCGAAGACGGTCCCTTCGCGGGCGTTGAACCTGAGCTCCAACTTGATCTAGCCTCGACGCGAAGGTCCGCTCTTTGAATCTGGGCTTCTCAAGCATTTTTGGTAACCCGAGGGCCCGAGTGGGGAATTCAGAATTCGACCTGAGTTGACTAAATAAAAAATGGGAGTTTCTCTTGTATCCCTGTCTTAAGTAGCTCGTTGTGGCTTTGAGACAACTAGATAGCCGAGGGCATTGGCCGACCTGCGGGGCCACGGACACTTCCTCCGTATCTTTCTACTTTAAACATGCTCATGACGTTTAATCACGGAAACAGGCACGACAGGTACCTCAGTTGAGACACGGGTGGCTTGGCAGACCGGCGAGATTGGATCGCATGCTCGATCACGATCCGGAGAAGCTTGCCCAGCATTGTGACAACTCAATGCAGACAACATTTGACCGCTTTCCGTACTTCAGGCCAAAAGCCATGGTTTTCAAGCCTTCACGATGAAAATCATCCCATCACAAACCAAGTGACTTAGTGACTTAGTGACGTGGAGAGAGGGGCATTAACTGGAGACTCCTCGCCGCTCCGGGCGTTCGGCGAGAACACCCGTCGTATCCCGACTGTCTGGTGCTTGTTACTGTGTTACACGCGCCTTTGAGACATCCAAATGTACGAGTCATCCGAGTTATCCGCGGAAACCTTTTTAACAGTCGTACAGTCAACACCTCTCTCAACTCACCCTCAATACCCCTTTGTGCCCTTCACAAGTAGGGACCTCGATCGCAACCGGCCATGCAGTAGCCACCGCCTCAACCGGACGTCTTGGTAGCTTGTGCCACACCCATAGCTTCCCCGTATGGCGCATTGGAATCCGATCTACATCTTTCATTTCGTAACACAAAGCACTCGCATGGAGTGTTGGCGGGTCGCCGAGCCACAAGAGCTTCCATTTTCTGCGCTCTAACTCAATCGGTTTGCCTAATGAGGATATTATGTAGGCGATCAAGTCGAGATACTGATCCGGGTCTTGAACATAACATCGCACGTACATTCCTGTCATTTTCAAGGACCTCTCAACAGTCAATTGGCATTGACCCCATTGTTCTCTTTGCTATGGAAACGGCTGCTTGGAGCCCATCTGCAACCGGATAATCAGATCGCTAAGACTTGACGTTAGAGAATTAACATGTTGATACGGTCGAGATGGTCATAGACTTTCCGCCTGGACTTCTCCGGATCGATTTGAACGCATTTAGAATGGTCTTTCGACGATAGTTCTCTATGAAGTGATATCTGCTGCCATACTCGTTGCTTTCTATTCTTAATGGAGGAAAGGTGTTGCTCAGGTCACCGAAGAGTGCTCCAGGGAAGATTGATGGGAGTTTCCCTACCCTGCGCCCTTCAAAGACAAGAATCGAGCCTTAGGGTATAGAACACCCAGTTCGTGACCCAATATGTCGAAAATGCCAAGCTTATGGAGGTTTATCTTGCCATCGCTGCTACTAGGGGGCAGCAGTCTGGCACAGTCGTGCCTTGAGGCACTCAGCAACGACCAGGTCGACGCGTGTGTTTGCTACTCTCTAGAGTACGTCGTCAGTTATGTCGCCTACATTGCCGTTTCTACGTCATACACGTCAAACTGCGAGGCTCTCCCAACGATCGCGGCCACCACATCCGCTGCTCCCCAGCATTTAGGGAGCAATCCAGCAGGGGGCAACTATTCAGGGTACGTGACAATTAGCAATGGGGTTTACACGGGCACAGGTATCTTGGCCGGGCCGACTACGAGAGCAATTCTGGGACTCGATGGATCAGGGACGCTGGTAGTGGAGGATCCGCCTTCGTATACGACAGTTTCTCGAACTGGTACGGCAACGGTCGTCCCTGGATCGCTCCCGAACTTCGTTAACTCCACGAGTTTTCTGACTACGAACCCCATTACGGCACCGCGAACCATTTTTGTCGCCAACCCCACGCCGGGGGCTTCCATAGCTTCCCGAGGAACTGTGGTCGTCGCGGTGCCTGACCCGAGATTATACAACACAAGCACACTCGCTTACTCTGGGACCAATTCCCTAAGCGCAGCTCGAACGACCATTTCGACTATTGCTGAATCTGGCTTCGTACCTGGCACCTATGTTGTCGCTGTCGCGACAACAACAGTACCTGATGTGTCCTACGATGTTTCTACCGTTGCGTATACTGGAACAGCCGTTCTTTCGGGTCCAACGGTAGTGTCAGTTATCCAGCCTACAGATGGAAGCGGTCGAGGAACAGTGGTCATTGGAGTTCCACCGACCGGGCTTCCTCCTCCTCAAGTGACGTCTATTGTTCCGTATGAGGGCACGAATCCCATTACAGGACCGACGACGATACTCAACAGGCCCTTCGATGGCACCTTGCCTGGAACCCTCATAGTCGGACTACCACCAGCGTCTTTCATCACCCAGACTGTGCCATTCACAGGCAAAGAGGCCCTTACGGCCCCGATAACTATCTCGATAGCACCGCCCAGTGATTCTCAACTCGGTACCGTCGTCATCGGAAGTCCATCAGCCACATTCTTGGCCAGCTTCGTTCCTTTTACCGGGTCTTCTCAGGAGACACTGTCTGTGATCCAGCCTACAGACACATCCCCAGGAGTCGTGATCATTGGGCAGCCGGTTGATTCTGATCCAGATGTCGAGGATCCCACATCTACGACTTCAGCGCCTCAAGTAACGCCGACGCGATACGTCACGTCGATTGTGACCTACACGCCCGCCTCAGATGCTCCCAACACACCATCCACTTTGGCTGTAATAGACGGTACGGTTATTATTGGGCTGCCCCAAATTATATCCCCAGCTGCGACTGGCTCAGACTCGTTCATCACTTCGGCGAGAAGAGAACCCTTTGTCACTTCCACTGTCAACTTCACTGAAGGTGTGGACTTACCTACAACTGTTGACCCCGTAGGAACCGCTCCTGGAACGGTCTTTGTTTATGCCTCATCGAGAGGCGGGGATTCGAGACCTTTGTTTGTCACTTCAGAGGTCGTCCTGCTAGGAACAACAGCTGGCTCGGCGCCTACAACCATCTCCGTCCTGCAACCAACAGATGGACTCCCTGGAACCTTGATCATCGGCAGGCCGGCTATTTTCGTGACTTCGACAGTCCCTTGGACAGGATCAGTTCCTTTGCCATCTAGGACAACAGTTGCAGTTGTGGCTCCTTCAGGAGACACCCCCGGAACGGTGTTTGTGGCAGATCCCACGACACTAGGTAGACAGTTTTCGACGTCCTATGTCCGCCTTTCTGGGACTCAAGAAGAGGGCGCTGCAACAACGTTGACCCTGATCCCAGGCGAGGGTACTTCGCAACCCGTCATCGTTATTGGAGTCCCCGGCGACTACATTACTTCCACAGTTGACTTTAGTGGCACAGATATACTGACGACGAGAACCACACTCTCGACTTTGCCGCCGAATGGTGTGGCACCAGGCTTCATCATCGTAGCCGACCCACCAACGTCTGTTTCTCCAGAAGCTCCTATGATAACAAACGGGGCCCCTGGTGTCACTCAGCCAGACTTCATCACTTCGACGGTGGTGTATGAGGGCTTGACTACATCTGTTTTGACCAGCATCCCACCCACAGGCTCCGACAGGGGTACGATCGTGCTTGCAGTTCCCTCGATGGCCTCGTCATCAAGAGCTGGAGGAAACCCCGCGTCGCAGGTAAACAGTATAAGCGTGGCTCTGGCCTCGTTCGTTACTTCGACCGTAGTCAGTCTAGTCGGTTCCTCTGTTGGCTCGCGAACTACGATCTCAACGGTGACTCCCGACGTTGCAAATTCCATCCCTGGCACTTACATCGTGGCCTTGCCCAACGCCTACGTCACCTCCACTGTGCCTTGGACTGGAGCAATGCCCTTGTCGACCTTGACAACAATTTCGACCTTAACACCTTCCGACTCTGAGCCGGGTGTTTTCGTTGTGGCTGCTCCGAATGCGATAGTCTCATCCATCCCACAGGCAGTGGGTAGTGGCACAGTCCCAAGTCCAATTCCTCCAAGCAATGCTTCTCCTGGAGACTCAGCTACACCGCTTCCTGTCACACAACTAGCAGACCAGACACTCTTCACAACCTCGACAGTACTTTTGTCGGGCAATCTCGGAATTTCCTCAGCAACTATTTTAACTACCCTGAAAGCTGATCCGGGCTCACCATCCACTGTATTGCTTGGCGTTCCTGATCAAGTCGCAAGTACGGGGACCTCCATCGCAGGAGAGACACCAGAGGCTACCCCTGATGTGAACGCTGGGTCTGGATCACCCAGAAGCTCAGAAGCTGCAGTCTCATCAAATTCGTCAGGCAATTACATCTCGACAACCACTCCCACTGAATCTTTGCCTTCGACAACAGCTCTCGCCAACTCTGCAGTTGGCTCCGTCGTCACTTCAGACATCTTTTACAGTGGGACCAACTCGTTCACCTTGCCCATCCCGCTGACAACTCTGTCTGCTAGTCTAGGCAGTCCTGCAACTGTGATACTGCTGCAGCCGTCATCAAACCTTGGGTCAACTAGCAACCCTGCAGGTGGTTCCGGTTCTAATCCGCTGGGAACCGCTTTGTCGCTTACATCTAACAACTCACCTGACCCAACTACCGTTGTCTTTATTCAATCTGGGACAACGATTCTGTTGCAGGCTTCTTTTGTCACATCTACTCTAGATGCGGGCAGTAGCTTCTTGGAGGGATCTCAAGGGCTTGTCCCCATTTCTACCATCCTACCGAGCGCAGGTCAACCAGGTACCATTTTGCTAGGACGGCCAGGAGCGACAGCCACATCGGCTCCAGATACGATCTCATCTTCGGGAT